CAACCCAGCAACCATTCAAGCAAAGGCTTCTGCCCGTCACTTATCTGCTCGGAACTCGACTCCAACGACTCCATAGCCAGCTCCAGCTTGCTGTCCTTACACATGACTGCAGAAGCCAAAGGAGCCACCACCCCCTGTACAATCACATACTTCACGTTCGCTACTCCTGCTCTACACCACAACAGCAAAATCATCAGAAGAGGTGGGGACATCGATCAGGTGCAGGAGGTAAGCCCTGGGGGCAGGGATAAGCCCTGGGGGCAGGGATAAGCCCTGGAGGGCAGGGATAAGCCCTGGAGGGCAGGGATAAGCCCTGGAGGGCAGGGATAAGCCCTGGAGGGCAGGGATAAGCCCTGGAGGGCAGGGATAAGCCCTGGAGGCTTCGGGGGGCAGGGATAGACCAGACGACACTGAACCACAAGACAGATGCTTGTTGGTCTGTCGACTTACAGATTAAAAGCAGCATCTACCGTGAGGTAGGTGAGTTGACTCGTTATAGTTACAGACAAGGTCCGTGGGCCAATGACTAGCTGGACTTTCATCACGTTGGCGCCATCAGCTGTCATGCCTTCATCTGAGTATTTATCACCCGGAATTATTATTGGACCCTGATGTCGTCAGGCGGTAAGTGGCACCTTGAGAAGGTGCGAGTGGTGTTTGTATCTGGACACATTGTTGTTAGAGTTAGGGTGGTATCTGACATAAGAAATTCACGCTTTTGCAGACAAGGAATTTGGGGTAGGGGCTGCTTCTTATTCTCCTGACTGCCAAGATGGAGGCCTTAGTGCAGAAGTAAGGCGTGTTGTTGCACCCGCTGCTGTGGACAGCCTCGAGGCGTCGGCCGCGAAGGAGGGGCTAGAAACAGTCTACACTTCGTCACCTGTCTCGTCTGCAAGTGAAGCAAAAACGGGAGAGCCCGCTGCAGGCGACTTTTGTCACGAGGAGGAGCCGAACACAGAGGAAGTACGGGACCAAAGAGAAGTGCAACAACTGGGAGAGCTGAAGTATCCGGAAGAACATCAGCCCCATGAGATGCAAGAAGTGCAGCCGCAAGAAGTGCTGCCGCAAGAAGTGCTGCCGCAAGAAGTGCAGTTGACTGAAGAGGAGTTGGTAAAGACTGTGGACGAAATTCTTTCGCGCGAGAATGTAGCGATGGACGCGTCGCTCGCCCTGCTGGTCAGTCGGGCGGACGACTCGGGAGTGATTTACGTGACGGCGAAGAGCCTCGCGCGTCACCCAAGGCTGCTTAATAAAACGACCGCTGAGCAACTGCACGCGATTGAAGTCAAGAACGCCCCGAAAAACGAACAAGGTCATTTCGTCCCGCTTCTGAAGGTGCCAAGAAGGACGCTAGTCTTTAGAGATCTTACTCAGGATGACGAAGCTGCCTTGCTTGCCTTGCTTCGCCAACACTTCTACACCCAGGGCAATTCCCCTGGAGAAAAGGGAGAACAATCTGAGGAGAAACAGCCTCCTGAGGAGAAGCAGCCTCCTGAAGAGAAACAGCCTCAAGAGAGTCGGCCGCAAGAGAGCCAGCCTGATGACACCGAAATTGAATCTGGAACTACTAAGAATTGCGATACCGGTAATCTGGAGGACCCGGTGCTTGACATCAAGTACGAGCAGACCCCCGTAAACTGCTCCTGCTATGTCACCTTGAAAAGTGAAGAACTGGCACAGTCCACAGCCTTGTGGCTCTTGGGCAAAACGTTGAACGAAAAGCCTGTCCGAGTCGGCATTAAGACAGAGTCTGAATACACGATTCTCAGAGGTATGTTCCCTTTTCCTTACCACTTCCTTGCCACCTTTTCCTTGGTGCGACTTTGTGTGTCACGCAACTTTGTGTGTCACGCAACTGACCACATCGCTTAACACGTCGTTACACATATAGCTGGATGATGAGAACAGATTTTTCCGTAGGTGCCAACCGTTTTGCTGGTCCGAGAGATATGACTAGGTACGACCGTCCTATGCACGGCCGACGAAGACTACCGAACAAGAACCGGAAGCCAAGACGTGGGCCCCACAACAAGCAAAGGGGACCAGTCAATCTCCTGAGCGACAATTTCCCGCCCTTGAGCGACAATTTCCCCCCGCTTGGTGAAGCTGCAGTTGCCATCCACCCCATTCCTTCCTTCAGCTACGACCGTGACTTTGTTCGATACACGCCGGAAGTTATGAGAGCAATCCGGGACGGAATTTCAATCCAATAACACCCATCCAGGACGGAAGTGGAAGACTCGAGGAACAAAACCACAAGGCAAGCTGGGCACCTCTTGATGCTGACCATCTCATAGTGCTGACCATCTCATAGTGCTGAC